TAAAATATAAAGCAAATTTGAAAATTAGAATGTGTAATGTTATTACTCGGCCTGCGACACACTTCACTCATATCAATCCTAGTTTTCTAATTCATGTTTATTAACCTGTACCATGAGAATCTTAAGCTCTTGCCTCTTGGTGTGTGTGTTCGTGTTTGTTACTAACAGAATGTTGTTTGTTTTCTGAATTGATGGATTGTTGATTGAGGCCCATCAGCACTTATTCAGCCCGTTTATGTGGGGTACCAAAAGTTGACTATGATTTTAACCACCAACCGACATTTGTTTTGTTTAATTTATTTATTTCGTTTTCTTGAAATTATTGTTGACGCGACGTTTTTTTTAAAGGGAAGCTAAATAACGTTTTGATCACATGCGCAATTAACAGAAGCAAAAACACGATTTAATGATTTATCAACATTATAACCTATAGTATTAGCTTACCCAAAACACACATATATGGTTGGTAAAAAGTTTCTAGTCACGGTAGACCACTGCAAATATTTTTGTCCCTAAAAGTAAAACTAATAGCAAGAATATATCAATCGACCTCTCGACCATCAAAATTAGGTAGATATCATAAAAGATCAAATGTCACATTCATTCAACGATATTCATAGCGTCACGGACTCACGAGTGAACTGTACCATAACCTCTGTCGAATGTTTTTTAATCTCTTATTCAAGTTCCTAAGTTAGGAATCCTATCCTAACCCAAATTTACCTTTGATTTTATTGACATGATTTAATTTTGATTTAAAAAGAACATTTCCGTTTATTTGGTTTCCTTTAAAAAATTAATTAACAACAACAAAAACGATCGAAAATGACTTAGAACATAAGTAACGGTAATACAGAAAAACGTCTCATCTCGTTTTCAAGTAATAAAAAAATTAAAAACACAGAAAAAAGACGTCTCTGAAAAATAAAACGATTCAACAAAATTTGTCTGCCATGTCTTCATAAAAGTGATTTACATTTGTTTACTAATTTAATTTCAAATTAAATAGTTAAAATAAAAAAATATATATTAAACTAATATATTTAAAATCCTAAAGGAAGGTTTCGGCGTTGCTGATAGACTTAGCATTGTTAGAATAATCGGGTCCGCCTACAACATTAAGCACAATAAAAGACTAAATTATGAGCAGGCTCATTAGTACAATGAATTCATAGGTGATAATTATTACATTCAACATAATTTTATTTCCACCAACTGCATAAAATACTTGGCAAGTAACTAACAAAATTATATTTCTGACTATCCAATTTACCTTCCAATGTCACATGCAAAAAAAATTCGGTCTATCTCGAAAGCGAGATAATAACTGACCTCATAAAATCTAAACAAGCGACAAAGGGAAAAGGATTGTATTCGGTACGGTTCGGTCCGATCCAAACATCAGTAACAACCGGTCCATTCAGTGGGACATATTCTGATTGGTGGAGAGTTTCCAAGCCGAAGTGGCTACGAGCGGTCGAGTGTGCCAACCCAACATGAGACAACCGTCACTCTCCTCCACACGATAACCTTCTCCGCCGTTGAACAGAGCCAAGAGCATACTCGCGTCCTTGAACGCCTTCGAACCGATATGAGCCGCTGAAAACCCAGCCGAACCGAACCGGTTCCTCCATTGACTCAACGTTTCGTGACGCTCAACTCTGTCAGGTCCATCACAAGCCACAACGTTGCAGATCTGTTTACCCAAGTAAACCTCCGACATAACCTTGTCTTGGCTACTCGGTGCACCTTCCAACGAGTCAAACAACGTCGAGTAATAATGCAGAGACTCGGTAAACCGGTCTAAGAAAACCGGACTATTATGGTTCGATTCTTGCTCAACCACAGTGAAAATCTCCGGTTTAATCTGATTCACCACTCCAAGAACTTTCTCGATCGCACCGGGTCGTCCCAAAAGCTTATGCAGCTCGAAAACAGAGTTAACCGCAACAGATTCGATCTCACTCGATCTAAGCTCAAGCATCGACGCGTCAAGATCAGCTAAAGTGTTGGCCACAAATCCTCTATACTCGAACTCAACGTTAATGGCTTCCGCTAGATGAGCTAATTTACAACCAACTTCATGAAGGTAATCGAAATTATCCGGTGCCGGAGGACCAATTCCGGTTAACCGGAAAATCGGAGGACCACCAGGACGAAGCGCGAGTGCTTGCATAAGCGCAGGCCATTGAAGACCTTGGCTCATGGAGAAATCAATGACATGAACCCTTTTCTTACCTTGGAACGCTTCGTAGATTGCTTGATTCGCCGTGAAATGAGCGAATTTGAGGTAAGGACAGGTCTCGTAGAAGTGCATCTGGAGTGTGTCGGAGAGTGAGTGGTCGATCAAGCTCCTCGACGGTCGGAGACGGTAGATCCGCCGTGCTAAAGCTTCTGCGAAATAAGTAGCTACTTTCTTCATCGCTCCGATCTGAGATACAGCTAAGAATCCGATTTGCTTCACAAGAGCTTCCGCTAGAGTCAGATTCTCTTTCTGTACGGCTTCAGCGCAAGCGAGAAGCGTGTGGACGAGACGCACACCGTTCTCCTGCGAGTCGACCAGGACTAAAGCCCGAGTTGACTCAGTGGCCGTCGTCACGACGCTAGTAGGTGTCGAAACAGCCATGGAATCAGAGCTCGAGGTCTTTAACCTCTTGTTGTTGGTGTTCGACGAAGAAAAAGACGAATCGATAGAGAACTGATTGAGAACCGCGTCACCGGGAATAGATTTGAGATCGGAGTCGGCGGAGTTAGGATTGAGGTCGGAAAGCATGGAATTGAGCCACGTGTAAAGATCCGTCGGATTGTAGTGTACAGAGTCCGTGGAGAGATGAGAAAGATCGTCTTCTCCGACGTTTGACATCATCACGTCAAGCTGTTCGAGTCTCTGAGCAACCTCCGCCATTTCCGATGACTTAACCTTGTAACCAAGAACAGCTAAAAGCTCGTCCATGCCGTTACAGTCGTCTTCTTCTTCCTTCATCGTCTTACCAAGATGATGATGATCTCTCTTCATGGTTTTGGTGCGATTTGATTGATCTGAAGAAACTC